GATAGATAGATAGATAGATAGATAGATAGATAGATAGATAGATAGATAGATAGATAGATAGATAGATAGATAGATAGATAGATAGATAGATGCAACTGAAAGTGTAGTGAAATGTGTGTTTTTGTGTGTGACATGTAGTGAAGCAATTGAGCGCTCAAGTGTGGAAAGCCACAACAGCCTCAGGCAGAGACAACAGTTTGAAATTACAGGTACTCTAGATGTCTAGAAGGTAGAAGCTCCCACACAGGAAGGAAGAATTTCATTATTATTTCATTACTGATCAATGAATTGTCCAGTAAATAACTGTGCGCACATGTATACTGTACCTTTTCATCAGGTATACACTGGCGGACATTTTCCAGATAGGCACTAATGTTTTCCACGTTTGTGAATCGCAGCAGGATTTTGGCAAAGTCTTCTTCACTGATAGTCGTCATACCTTTAGAGTAAGTCAGGAACTCAATTTCCAACACCTCTGTCTGGAGGTTATCCATAAATCTGAAAACAGAAAGAAAGGACAGTAAAAAAGACAAAAAGAGAACTGTTCTATAAATCATCCATTCTGCCATGTGGTTAATACTGTTAGCGTTAGCACTCTTTCGGTTCTAGTACCTGTAGAAGTCATCAAAGGTAAGCTCTGCCTTCCCCTTCTTCCCAAAGAAATGGACCAGTAGTGTGGTGTCAATTGTGATGCTATCATCTGCTCGCTATCAAAGAGAGAGAGAGAGAGTGATACGAGAGACGATCAGTGACTAAATGACAAACCTCAAGCGTCATGGGTGGAGAAGGACGAGTCCATTATTAGACCAACATGGCCACCGCTGTGCCAGATTAGCAGGAAGCAGGGTTCTATTGCACGTGTGCAAAACGTGCACTGGATGAGCATTACAAATTACATTACAAATGACATCCCAAATTTCAGTCACAGTCATCAGCTCAGACAAACAGTCAACAGCCATCATGAAATCAAACTTACCAGTCTAGGAAGCATAATATGATGTGAAAAACAGTCAGAAGAGCCAAATAAAAATTTACAAGCAAACTGAAGTAAAGCAGGTAAGTAAAGAAGGGAAGTCAGATTATATCTATTAAAGAAATCATTCTCTATGCAGTCTAGACTGGTGAGTAGTGATGCTGTAGCAGCGTGAAACACAGACTGATACAATGTTAAGGAGTACTCAAGTATCAGCCCAAATAAAGAGAAGGCGGTAAGATCACAAGTCATGCCTACATTCACAGAGCCAGTGTGAAGGTAACGGTGGAGGTGAACAAGAATGCAGGAGGAAGGAAGACAACACTTTAAACAGGTGGAGTTCATTAAGGACAGAGAAACAGACGAGGTAAGCAGAAGACATGAAAGGAAAAGAAGACTTGTGGAAGAGCAACTAAGTGCAACACAGACAAATACATGACAAAGACACATCCCATGCATTTCTTCGCAAATGCCACATTGACACACCTAAACAGAACCTCAAGTCACCAAAAGCAACACTAAACAAAAACCACATAAGCACAAGTGCAGAGATTTTGTGAGCCGATTCCACCTTTTTCCGTCATCAGATGTGTTTGGTTGCATATTCTTCTAGTCTCCCTTGAGTGTGTGTTGACTCTGTGACCCAGGTCATTTAAAATCCATTCAGTGAGCTTTGGGTTGTTTCGACTGTTTGCTCTAGCTTTAATCTGCTGGTTAACACCTTGTTTAAAGCAAGGTGACACAATTAGGATTTTAAGCCTTTGCAGAAACTTAATCTAAGTATTTAGTTCACTATTTTCTGTTCATACACAGTAACATACTTGTATCTTTCAGAAAAAGGTGACTTTTGAGCAGTTCCAGAAATGAATCAGGCAGCATCAGGACAAAAAAGAGAGGAATTCAAATACACATCTTCTCTCTATTGACCTGTCATGCCCCACCCAGCCAACCTTCATTTCCAATCTTTCACCATGCTGAGGAATACGCAGACATAAGATTAAATAAAATCTCATGTCCTTCTAAGAAGGAGCATTTATGGCATTTCAGTCATCATCATAAATATCATCATCACCACAATGCCATTCGTGGTTCTACCTCAAGAGTAAAATCCTAAAATCCAGTGTGGGACAAGAAGAAAATGTGAAACAAGATCACACGTTTATTTAAGGGACAAAATATCAAGAGGTCTTTTTTTGTGATTTGTTTGGTGTCACACAGTGAATATTCATTCAGTCAGTCAGAAATGTCTGTAAGTGAGCTGCAGTCTTTCTGATAGAGAGGAAACCATCCCCACGGATAAGAATGAAAAAAAGTGATCTTACAAAAAACAACTGATGTGACAAAAGTCATTAGAATTTTGCTGGGCATTTACCGGGCTACATTTTAGGCTTTTATTAAATTGTTGTTATGTATGAATTAATAAAAACAACTAAAAACTCTACTGGTTAAAGTAAATCGTGTTTCAATTACAGATTCTTTTGGTCATCAATGCACAATATTAACAATAAGCTGCAGGAAGATGCAGATGTTCAAGGCAGTAAAATTCTTAAATGTATGGTAGATTAAACTGGAACCACACTGGTAAGTCACACAATAAAAATGTCTTGTGAGAAACAAGCATTAAAAGTAAACACTGTAGTAAGACCACTCTTAGCTTTTGGTCTGTTGCTGATTCACTTAAGAGTCTGGTCTTTCAGTCTTTGATTAGGGACAAAGGAAGATTTCCTTTGTGTAAACACAAGACAAACTGAAACAATTACAGACTTATCATTGCTGTGTCTAAGTTTTCTGTGTCTCATTTACTAGACGTTCTTTTCATTAAGTCTCTGATTACGGACAAACAGGACAAAATTTGTTTTGCTCTTTTATCTCTGAACTGACGCATTACTGATGTCTTTATGACACATGAGCTGTTCATACATCTAGACAGTATCCAGGTGGTGTGTCTCTGCCTCTCTTCCCTCCCACGTGGAGTTCCCTTAATTCTGCTTTGTTGTTTTGAACTCAAAACAAGGAAATCATTTCGCATTATCTTTATTCAAAACTATTGTGACTGAGGAGTTTATGTATCTGGTGGGTGTCTATTCACCGCTGCAGTGAGTTATCAGCTGTTGCACAAAGACTTGTACTAAATGTATTTCAGGAGTCTTCAAGATATATTTTGAAAAAGGATGGATCCACAGCTACAGGAAGTAAAGCCTGCAAATGAGTGGAATACACTATGGTTGGAGTGATATTTACTGAAGTGTACAAACTAGCAAGGGAAATTACTTAGATTACTTAGCTTGATTGTACACTGTGGGTGTAGGATATAACACCAGTTATCTGAGCTTTGTTAAAAATAGAACATGTGGTTAAAAATTAATTACTAAAGCTACATTAAGAGATTTTTGACCACTACTTTGGTCACTACCAATTCCTCCATTAACTTTAATTTATGTTTAGTCCATGGTAACCTATTTTTCACTGGATGCTGTCTTATAATGTTGTTTGATGCTAGATCATCAATAATGTGTACCCTCAAGAAGTTTATTTTAGCCAATACATCTTATATGTTCAAGTATCTTTAAGTGTAATCTCTTCTACCAGCCAGCACAGGGTGACTTCTTTGGTTGCTAAAAAATCAAAAAGTGTAGACATCTATGGGTAAATGGCCCTCGATTCCCCTTTCTGGATAAATTCAATGGATTATTTGCTAGCTTCGATTCTTACTGAACACAATAAGATGCTCATCTTCTAAAGTACGGCTGCAAATAGTGTCCATAAGGATGATAAAGCAAGTTGTGCCTTTGGTATCTTTCTCCATTTGGTATCTTTTGGTGTCACAGTCAAATTGTAACACCTGTAATGTCTGTTTTTCAAAAAGATTAGATGACAACGATCAAAGTGTTCAGCTTTAAAAACATAAGTTGGCTAATAAATTAGCAATGGCGCAGAGGCTACAGCCACCTTTTAATTAGTCCATAATCACAATGAGCCTACCTCCCTTACAAATTTTAGAGCTATTTTTTCTTACGTGTCTAACCAAAAGAATTTTGTCATTGTGATGTGCAATAACTTTGTCATAGCAAAGGCTTTCAAGAATCCAGATCAGTCTACCAACTTGTCGACGTAATGCCAAACGGATCATAACAAGCTTATCATTCCTGGAAGTGTGGCGGTACTAGTGTGAGCTCATCATCCCAGTGACAACGTAATCGTTACCACGCCCACAAGGCACGAGCCAACACCTGGTGCATGCATGTGTCTATTTGTCCATCTGTGTGTTTATCTGTGAGCTTGTGCAGTCTTTGATCACGAAGCTGAGGGTAAAAACAGTAATTACTGATGTAAACGCTAAACGCTGTTCCTCACCCTCCCCATCTGTGAGTAATACTCCGGAGGAAGAGCTCATTGTGGGTCTTTAGTCAAGTCAGTCAGACTGTCAGTCAGTCACACCTTCCAGGGGGAAAAACAGCCAACCCCCCCTTTCCGTTTCATGGCTTGTTCAATTTTCTTGCAATGACTTTTATCTCCCACATTTTCTTTCTTTTTTCTTCTTCACATCTCTTATCATACCTTTAATCTTATCCCACCCCCTGCTCTGATTACGCTGATTTCCTTTCACCTCACACTACCCGTCAGTACCTCCTTCACCTGACAAACAGAGAGGTGATTTGCTCGGTCCTACACTCCCTCCTTTTCTACCTGTCAGTCAGTCCCTCCTTCTCCAGACAAAAGGAAAGAGGTATAATGGTGACTAATCTGTTGAGTAAACACATCTTTCTCTAAATACAACCTGGTTCTTTCTTTTCACCCAAATGTACTTCCCGAACTTCTTTTCTTCTCACTCACTTTGTTCCTTAACATTTGTTCTGCCTGCTGACCTGTGTCATCTTCCTTTGGCCTTTTTCACCCATTTGTTTACTCTGATTTTATCTCCTTCGCGTGTTCCTCATGTTTTCCACTTATCTGATATCGCGTCCTTAAAGATATGTTACATTTCTTTGAATTACATCTTTTGCCTGGCTGTCATCTTGTTTGTCACTGTTTCACATTTTTTTCTTACTTAATTTAATCCTAAATCATTTCTAATCCCTTTTATGTTTAATATATCCCTCCATTAAAAAAAATCCTTACTCTTTTCCCCCCATGTCTGATTTTCCTGCTCTGTCCGTCTGACATCCCGGCAGATGAAAGGCTGCACGGTGTAAATACAAGGTCAACCCCATTATGTTTCACTGTCATTACCTCAACCTCAGCTTCCGCTGCCAACACAGCAGACAACCTGTCATTAGTGAGCTAGTCTGTTAGCACTATTTTAGCTGTTACTAATGATTACCAGTCTTCAGAAAGTACTATCAGGAAGACACTTTAAGCTGCAATTGTAGAAATAACTGGAAACACTGACTTTGATTTATTGAGACAGCTCATTTGTTAAACCACCAGTCATGAAATATGTTAAGAAGTATCAGTTTGATGAACAGATATTCTGGGATCCAAAGAGCATAAAAGCTTCTGAGGTAATGTCTCAGCAATTATTCTATCATCGCCTTTTCCTAGCTTGGAATAGTGCATTAAAACAATAAGGATGAGGTTGGATGCCTGCTAGTTCCGATTAGTTCAGCTCACCATCTGGTTTTAATTTTGATCCCAGGGATTTTGCAGGTTGTTTTTTTTTCCAAATGTTAACCTTTTGTGTAAATCATAGTGTAAGATGTTGTCCTGTAACTCTTCATGAATTCTACTGCGTGAATTTAAGTTTGTAGTGATAAAGAGACAAAGATTTTGTATGTGCTCTGCAGTCAACCGTCTTATCCTTGTTAAACACTTGTGGCGCAACGTGGGAATGATCTGACACCAAAGCTACGCCACTAGTCACAACACGGCACAGATAACAAGGCACAGATACACATATGAAGCAGAATGAAGACAGAAAGAAGGTGAAAAAAAGACAAGTTATTAAAAAAAGGACATTAAAATCTTTGTCATTTAATGGATCAGTATCGATCAACAACAAAGGCTAAAGTCTTTCAAAATATTCATAATCCAAAAGTAAATAAATATCTTCACAGACAGAGTGAAATGACTTAGGATGGAGCAAAACAGGAAACATTTGGAGGATGCTCACATTATTTCATTCAAATCCACAGTGTGTCGAGTAGAAAAAGATATTTTCTCACAAATTAAAGGTAAACATTGGAGCTTGAATGCCGATTTTAAATGTTCCTTTTAGAGCTCATCCAAACAAACACGATTTCACACTAAAAAAAACCCCAGTGATGATTTATACACTAGTCTAAAATTAAATTATTACTATTTTTAGAAACAAAAACAAAGAAGAACGCTGTGGGACAAAGGAAGGAACGCTGGGAAGAATGATGAGATATTTCTGTTCTAACATCTAGGAAACAAAGAAAGAAAGCAAGGAAACGTATCATCACTATCAAGCCAAACCAGAATAAAAGTTAGAACGACCAAAGCTTTTGCAATAATCCCAAAATGACTATATTAGAGTGAAGATTCAAAGTAACTTTTTTGGTGCATTTGCACTTCAACCAATAACACATGACTTCTCTGAAGATTGGAGAATAACTTTGGTGTGTGTTTCAAGTAAAGCTTGAAAGTATTATATAGTATATAGGATTTCGAGTTTGATTCTGGCCAGCTTGATGGAACATATTTCTTGTGAACGTGTGGGGGTATTTGGATCCTCTATGTGAACTATCTGGTGCTGAAGAATGAGGAAAAAAGTGAAGGATAATGAATGCAGGGGTGAAGGAACAGAGGACGGTTGGGTATGTGTACCTCCGCCAGGTCAGAAAAGAGGACTTGACTGGCGCTTCGCCTCAAAACGTCCCAGTAACTCCGCGCCACAAACTCCTGACTGTCTTTTTTTAGCACCTGTAGGAGTGGTCAAGCAGGGCCAGGGTCAGTCAACCTCCAAATCAACCAATTCAGGAAATAAAAGTCCATTACCCATTCAATCAGTTGTCATTATAAGTAAACATACACAGATTATATCTCTGAATTTATATGTGAACATACAGGTGGATATTTAGGAAAGGTGTCACATGTTTTTTTATCAATACCTGGCACTCACTAGTTCTCTCAATAAAGGAGACCCTATCCATTCAAACATAAAAAAATAAGCAGTGAAGATTTTCACGCACAAAAACATGTTAGCATCAAACAGGAAGGGGCATACACAAATAGCTACCGTAGCTTCTCTGCAGCTAGGTTTACATTACAGGTAAAGGAAAGGATACTACCAACAGGGAATCATCAGGATGATGATGGATGTGCTATTCTGTTTAAATCACTGAAGCTATAACTCACTCATGTTGCTGACTCAGCAACAAACACAAGGAAAAAAAAAACGTTTTTAAAGAAGAAATATATGAAGATGTCACCCTATAGTACATTGTCTTTATTAAATAAGTAGTTTAGGCAGTTCTATAGCAACAGTTGGCTCTGTTCGCAAACGTTATTCTACCTTAATAAAGGCTGACCACAGTGCTGAGCTTCTGACCACCCACCTCGTCTCTCTCTCTCCAGGGAGAAAGCAACAGCAGCCATTTTAACATGACCCTGCAATGCTCTTAACTTCAGTGCGACAATGCGGCTATCCATCACAGCAGTGACAGGAGGAGTGCATATGTGTGTCTGTCTGTGTGTGTCTGTCTATGTGTGAGACAGCATGACAGAGACAGAGAGAGAGAGAGCAGTGGCTGGTAGTGTATTGTTTCTGACAGCACACTGCTGATTTTCACTACACTGCAGGCCGTTTCCACTCCACATATAAATTACTACTCATAACAGACAGCTACAGTCACTGTCATTACATCTCAACAGACACTAGGTACAAAAAAGCACTTGAAAGTGATAAAATGGAACTATAATTAAATGTCCAATGTTTCAAATAATGAGGTCCTGGTGATCTCTGTGAGCGAAAAGCTCAGGCTTGGAACTCTAACCCAAAACATTCAGTTTTAAACATTTCTTTCTGCTTTTATAGCTAAAAGGGAGGCAATGTCCTTAATACGGTGATCTAAAGTACACGGCTCTGGCTGTGATCACAGAAGCACCGCTCACCTGCTGTTCAAATTTTTTGTTTGCAATGGACAACCAATTAAAAGAAAGCTGTATTAAAAGGATGGTGGCTTTTGAGCTAAATTTGCTTTTCTGGTTTTTCTCGGCTGCATCAAGAATAACAGAAGTAAGGATTATTTTGAACTTTGAATTATGCAAATCTTTTCTAATACAATCCAGGCAGGAAAAAACATATAGAATTTAAGTATAATTAATTATTTAAATATTTAAACCATAATATAAAGCATTTCAGAAATGTCACACATGATTATTATTCATTAATATGCAAAATTTTGTACAGCAGCTTCAGTAGTTTTAGTCATCATCATTGATACCCAATAGCCAATCTCCAACTATTTCCTAATGATTGATGCCTTAATAATTGTTTTCCGACTTAGAGCTCATCAGGTTACATACAATTAATAAGTCAAATCTATCAGCATTTTGCACAGGGTTGGTAAATAAGAAATATTCATCCTTGAGAGGTAAAAATCTGTTTCATTTTCGATCCCATAAGACTCAACAGACAAATTCAACCTCTTTGTGTTCTTTATGTAAATATGATTTTGTTCAGACAACAGAAACATATTTTTGTATGTACCCTTGGCCTCCTTCCCTAAAAAATCTCTTTCTATATCTTTATATTAACAAACTTCCCCCATTAGGAACAAACAATACTGCCAAAAAATACAGCACATGTCCTAAAAAGGACTAAAATGGAGTCTGATTGTCTTTAGAGCTCTACAGGGTCTCAGGTCATTTTAAATTACATCGCTCTCTTTTTGTAAGAGTTCATCTCTCCTGACCCCTTAAATGTATTACTCTTTTCTTTGTCTGTCCATTAATCATCCCTCAATCAATCAATCAGCTGACTTGACAGATGGCCAAGCTTTCTTGAATTTTTCCCTTCTCCCTCTCTCTTTCTCTTACATTCATCCTTCAAAGTAGCTTACAGAGTACATTTCACTGATAACAGAGGATCAGGTGGACTGGGTCAAATTTAAGGCTTTTTCCATCATCGGGAGCAGAAGGGAATGACAGGCCTTTTTATTTTTATTAAGGTTTTTAGACTCCAGAGAGTCAGTGTATTAAAAAACTCTGCTGCATATATATATATTATATGGAATGTTTAAACTGAACGCAAAATAAAGGCCATTAATGTGTGATTTAATGTGTGATATTTAAAGGTCCTGGCCATCTATATTCATTTAAACTTGGCAGGGTTGGTGTGTCCTTATATTTAATGAACAGATATGATTGATGTAACTCTTCTCACCTAATTTTTCACATTAAACTTAATAATTGTATCTAAAAGGCATGGTGACACACAGACTGCAAAGCAAATGTTTTAGTGACTGAGAAACGGTTCAGATGTATGGAAATATATATGTGTCACAAGTGGCAGGTGAGCTAAAACACAATCACAGACAAATCATTTATATTTTTTCAGCTATTCATTTCCACACAGCAGCCCAAAAATATTCATCGGAAATGTTAAAATACCTCCTTGGTAATCACTGCAGCAGATTCACGTTGTCTTGGCCGGCTCTGCTCTCGAAGCTGAATTGTGTCTCGCTTGAATGATTCTGACTTTTGACAGTTTGGAGGGCAGAGCCCAAAGGGAAAAGGTCACTTTGAAAGTGACCTCATAACCTCTGTGATTGACAGGTTCAGTTTACTGTGTTCAATTTAAATATTTGCCCATGATTATGTTTTATTTCACATTATTATTGACACAAATATAATTCCACACAGGTAAAGTTTAACATATTCTCACATGGTTTCACAAAACTTAAGCTTTTTGTTACCATTAGGTTTCTACTCTGACTGATTGCTAAACAATAAAGCTGTTGAACTGACCCAGCTAATAAAAACAGCCTATTCTCTGCTCCATAAATATCTTTATCTATCTAAAAAGCAGAAAACGAGACTATGCCATGTGGATACCTACGCTGTTCATGGGGGCAACCTGATATCCATACAGCTGCATACTCTAACACACAGAGAGAGACACGAGGAAGAGAAAGAAGAGGACAGAGCATGCAGTCAGAGAGGAGGAGAGAAGGTAAAAGACATGTTAGTACATGCAAGGAAAGAGGATGTGCCATTTTCAACACATCTATGATTACATTTTAGAATACACACTGTGCCTAACACCAAGCATGTACTTTCAAGAGATAAGTTATGTGGGAAACATATCCTTCATTTTTCAGTGACAGTATTTCCTGTGAGCCAACAGCACAACCAGGACTGTTCTGTAAGATACCCAATGCTTAGATCAACAAATCTCTATCTCTTATTTGCTTACACATCTACACAGGTTCTTAGTAAACTTGGGTTTGAAAGATTTACTTCAAAATCAATAAGATATAGATAAGTAACAAAAGGAAAATTTTAATAAGAAGCTTTTAAATATTTCTTTTGCAAATCATGTCATGAAAAACTTACCTTGAGAACATTTTACTATAACTAATGCACAAGATACCTAATGGCTTATCTGTTTGTAAGTTACCTTAATTAATCTGTTTGTAGCACAACACATATGTGGGATGGGACAAGTTAATACTGACTCATCAAACCTGCTCTCTTTGATAGTTATTAAGTTGCATATACACTCTGACACAAAGAGAGCAGTAATGCGAGGTGCTTGGTGTTATTTCTAAAACTCAATCGCATAAAGTGCTGAGAAAGACACATATTCTATCATATATATAAATCAAATATACCAAGTCCACAGCAGGGATAACTGTCACAGAGATACCAAACAGTTTCTACGAGGCAGCATGCACTCAAAACTAGTTACATGAAAGGTTTAGTTTCACACCTGCATGAATACAAATGACAGTTAACTTTGACGATCATGATGATCGTTTTTAACAAATCCATGTGCGCAGTGTGACACAGCACTTCTGTCAGCAACCTTAACTAAATGGTAAGAGGTGTTGTGACAGTTTACACTCATGGATATATTAAAATGTAAAGTAAGTTTACATTAATGTTTACCTGTCTTTTAAGTTTACCCCACTAACAACAGAAGCATTTATGAAGTCCACGTCCACATAGACTATTCATGGTTGGTTCACTGTTGCCAGCATTAAGGTTAATTAGCAGTAATACCCATGCTTGTCTGAGCATACACCCCCACACCCCGTTACCATCTTCCTTACCAACTGCGCGGACTTCTCAGCATCTCCTTTCCTTCCTTTCTTCTCGTTTTTCTTCCTAAAGATCTCCTGAAGCTGTAATGAGAGAAAAGACGAGGAGCTCATTGACAATTCAAAGTCAGATCTAAAACGCTGTTAAAAAAATGAAATGCTCAAATGAGTTCAAACAAGGTCATTCACTCTTTCAAGCACATCTATGATGTCATTCAGGTAATGGTCTTTTGGCAGCATGATTAAGGGAGTATTCAGGTTTCACTCTGGAAGTGATTTATGTTTATGCATATGTGTTATTAAAGGAAAAATCAATGCTGAATTCAATATGAAAAAAAAACTGCTTCTACACTACAGTGTCGGGTAAGTTTTTATATACTTACTTATTCAAATTTAAATTAAAATACTAATTTCTTTGAAATAAAATAACGAGATTTGTAATATAAATGTTATAATTAATTAAGAGTTAAATAAAAAATGCACAACCACAAACACAGCAACCTGATGTCTACACAAATACAGATACATAAACGCTCTCTAAGAGCATATGATCATAAAAGACAGCAATAGTCACTGGTATTGTTCAATTTCCATTTAAGAATATTTAATTACTCTGACAACCAATATCACATGTAAAACAGAAAAATCTGTATCTAAACCCTCAATGTGAGAATCTTTTTCTGTCCCACACCTGCCTGCTCCCACAGGATTTTAAATCATTACCACTCCCTCCTGCTGATGTGCCATCCCACTCCCACCAACCTTCAGAGATTCTGATCCCTTCATGCCTGCAGCGGTGTTTTGACTTAAAAACGTGTCAGTTCTATCCCACAGGGAAAGAAACACATGTGTAGCCCTCAAGAAATCCTACAGTTAGTCTTCTCAGCTTTGTAATAAGCTGCCTTTAGAAGATGCAAATTCAAAGTCAACCTTTTTAACTGCTTTAAACGTTAAAATATAGTTAAAGCTCAAGGCACTGGGAATAAAGGTATATAATAGTATATTCGCTTAGGGTACTACAATGTTGGCCAAATGTTTTTTTTATTGATTAAGATGATGGAGACACTTTAATAGGGAAAAGACTTCTGTAAATGATGCAATCTGTGAATGTATTGTTTGAGAGCGCAAGGATGCTTGCATGAGACTTGAGGAACAGTCTTACAGGCAGATAAAGCTGAAACACGACCAAGCATTAGTCCAAATTCTGAAATGATTTAATGAGTTTACAAACGTAATGTAACATGCTGAGAATCAAGATTAATTTCAAGCTGTCAGTCTGTTAAGTTTTCAATAAGGTAGTAGCAGCAAATGTTCTCAAGCTTGCCCATCTGTAACATGGTGATGTTAATTTAACCAGAGAGCACAATTATTTGTATCTAAAAAACAACCAGGCAAGGAAAAAACATCTAGGATGGGCTGATTTGTGCAATCTTGTTTTTAAAGCTTCAAAATGAAGATTTCTGGTACGCCAATCTTTACTTTTCAAAAACCAGACATCATGAGTCAGAGGGTGACACTGGATGAACTGAGGGTCTGCACTAAAGCCCGTCATTTGATGTATAAGGTTTAGTATCCTTTTTCCTGTAAATCACATAAACATGTTTGTACTATAAGAGTCCAAGAATTAAAATATTGACTTGAAAATGGGCAAAATAGGGCCTCTTTAATTTTAGTAATTTAATAAACTACATTAAAACACCATGGTACAAGTCAAAATTAGATTTTCAAAAGTAAGGTTTTGTCTTTTGTCCACTCTAAAATCATGGATTGTTATTTAATACTAAAGCTATTCTTTAACACTGCTTTTTGGTAAAAGGAGTAACAAAAAGGGTTAATATTAATATATAAATTCAGGTTTTCTCCCAATATCTGCGACTCACCACTAGGAACTCCCTCTTATCCACCATCTGGTTGCCGTCTGCATCAAACATATTGAAAGCAATCTTAAAGCCAGCATGAGGCTCTGGGGAACAGAGAAGAGAACACATAGGGTGAGTGTGTGCATGTGTTTGTTAAAGGCAATTTGAAATCCATAAATAGTAAGTGGAAAAAGTGTCTCAAAGCATCAATAGGAGGGAGAATGACTTAAATGAAGCCACAGTTTCAAACACAGCTGCTTATCCAAAGAAAACATTAAAGTGTTAGACCAGGTTAAAGTTATTTAAAAAAACAAAACATAATAGCAGAACAAATACATTTGCTACAGACTGACCTTTCAATTTGACATTTTATTCTATTTATTCAACCATTTTTAAGGCCAAACAAGGAAGCATACATGTAAAAAAAAAAAAGAAAAAAGAAAAAAAGACGGTAATTTCTATTTAAATTAGTTTCACATGCTGGTCATACGTCTAAGAGATGAAGTAAAATGTAATTTCAATTATGGTCTTATGGTTTTTGGTGTGGGGGTGTGCACTGCCTTTCACCCTGTGGCAGCTATAACAAACTCCAGCCCCCTGCAAGCAGAAACTGAGCAGTTAAGATCAAGTATGCTTATTTTTATTCACTATAACTTCATCCATCATCTATTTAGGTTGAATTAAAATTAAAATTTGTGGAAAAATCATTAAAAGAAACAACTTTTTATTGATCCCTTATGTGTCAGTACAGCTGAGATCCATATTTGTAAAACACCCTAAAACATGCTATGCCAGTGACTGGCCCACCCCCAAGCATCAGAGCAATACAGTGTACACTCTTAAATGTCAAGAGGATGGCTGTAAATTATACACCGGGGACACCAAACAACCTCTGGCTAAGTGGACGGCGCAACACAGAAGAGCCTCGTCCTCTGGCCTTGACTCTTTAGTCCACTTAGACACACGGGCCAATGGTCACGCTTTCAATTACAAGGACGTGCACATCCTGGACAGGGAGGAACGCTGGTATCATCAAGGAGCCAAGGAGGACATTTATGTGAAAAGGGAATGACAATGTTGGAATTGAGGAGGCCTTAGAGAAAATCTTTAACCATCTGATCGCAGTCATTACCCAACTGTCTGTGTGCAAGAGGCTACTGATTAACGGTTACGCCAATTTGCATATCAACCATTATGAAACTGATCTCATCGCTCATTGTTATGCAGTGGCGCTACTTTCAATCGTTATGCAGCTGGACTGTTTGTAAGGTTAGGGAGAGACTGGGTCACTTGGATGAGTGCTGAAAGTACTGAAATTGTTGCTTCCAGATGAAAAGAATAAACTTTATGGAATTTTATAGCCACTTTCTTTTTTTCTTTTATTAAAGAAATTTATCTATTACTTTTCTTCATCTTTTGAGAAGATGTTCTTGCAACTTTCCTTACGTTTACATTTTTTTCATCTTTGGTCTGTCTCTGTCTCTTTTTGTCTTGCCCCAAGGTGAAGGGGAAAACCACAGCATTTGTGAGATCAACATTTTTTAAATTTCTATATGTACTTAGCGCACTTCGCTTTGTCACGTAATTTTTCTAAAAATAAGAATATAATAATGCAAACAACAACTGGGTGAAAGAGATATGATAAAAAGGTGCAGATGAGTTTAAGTGAAAGGAGAATGTGTGCAACTGAATTGACTCACTTGTCAAGATGCAGAGCAGGAACAGGTACTCTGTGTATGAGATGATGCCTGGTAATGAGATCAAGACAGAGAGAGTTAAGGAAGAGGTCATATGCAACTCACACACACACACATACACAATGTTTACAGATGTTCAAAGACTGTGGGCCTCACACAAAGACATACACACTAACACACATAATCCTTCCTTTCATGGAGATAGCATCTTAAAATGTGTCTTCTCAAAGCGGAGCTGCCAGCGGCCATTTGGCCACACACCGATTCTTTTTCTACACCCCAAGTGTCCAGAGTAAAGACACAGGCTAGCGTGTGTCTGTGTGTGTATGTGTCTTGTGTTTGGATAAGCAAGTGAAAAATGTTTCAGGAGGTGATCCTTTCTTGCCTCAGGCACATTCAGGAATCTTTGCAGCTCCATCTACGCTCTCTCTCCCTCTTTTTTCGCTTTCTGTCTGATCGTTCAGATAGTTCAGGGTGGTTCGCTTGAGTGTTACGGGAGACTGCTCCCCCATTTGTGTGTATGTATCCATGAGTGTGTGTGAGGGTGAACACGACACCAGTTAAAGTCAGTGTGAGCCTTGTGTTTTGCTGATGCTTGACTGCTTTGTGTAGAGGAGCTGGTTTGGAACTGAAGTCTTTTTCCCCCATGTAGCCTGAGCTCTGCATAGACTAGAGCATACAAAATTGAAGCTACTCAGGTTTCTATAATACAGTCTGTTGTGTGTTTACGCTCCCATGCTTTCAGTGATATACCACAGAATAAGAGGGATTAATACTGATCTCAAGGTGATATTTAATCATGATGGAAAGGGCTGTAAACAGGCATTATATGTCCTCTCCAATAGTTTTAACATTAACATATGTTCCATATGTTTGTTGATTTTGCCTTCCTTTTCTTTTAATTGTCAGTGGGTTAAAGATGTTAAGAGTCCATTGTAATCCAATAATAACAAATCTGATGGTTTGAATCAGCCCCAAGAAATTTAATTAACTCAAAAAACCCTGATATTTACCTCCAGAGAAATTTATTTAACTTTACAAGTCTATATCAATGCATATGTCAATACTAAAGCACCTTCCTCTGTGTTGGACATCTGCTATGGACTCACTAGAATAGCATATATTAAGAAGCCAAGAAGATCTAAATTTTGTGTTTGTTGTGCAGGTCAACTAAAGAAAAATATAAGGGTTAGTTGAGTACATGTGAACCATGATGACATTACAGTAGTACTAATAAACCGTTTTAAATGGAAAACATGAATGTGTCACATGAGTATTAACATATTAGGCGCAGGTAACAATGTTCCATGTTGCATACAGGCAATGCAAATGACTGCAATGAGTCTTTACTGCTTTAACTATATTTCCAGTTATATTTTCACTGCAGTCTGAAATTATTTTTGATTTAATTATCCAATGTGTGGCATTTCACTTACTTTATCAAAGTCAGAAAGTCAAAAACCAAAAAGGCATTCCCAGTTAACACAAATGCTTTATACTGGTACTATGAAAGGAATATTTACTCAGCTGTTGTGTGTGACAGATGGAAACATGGATTAACATTGTGTTAAATCTGCGATATACATACCCAGCATGTTACTGTATACTTACACAGTCAATTTTTCTAAAGCACAGTAATGCATTACCCATACTGTGGTAGTCATAAATAACTGATAATCAATTAATCAATCATGAATTAATGTAGTGTGTTCTGACATTAGCACACAGACACAGTGAACCCCTTTGAGTCTTTGTCTGATTTTCAACTCTATCGAGCTCAGAAATCCAAAGACATTACAATGATTTCAACTTTCAAACGTACTGGGCCACGTACACATCACACCCACAGGAGCTGTTCAGCCACTGAAAAGCCATGTCATGAAGTTCCTGAGAACAGCTTGTGTGCTGATGTTAATGTGACTGGAGTTTTGGAGCTTTACACATTATGTACCTCAGCACTCGGTGACCCCCGCTATATAACTTTATGGGGTCTGCCACTTCATGGCTGAGTTTCTATGGTTACTAAATCCCTCCACTTTGTAGTAAAACCACTTACAGCTGATTGTGAAAATATAGGACTTAAATTTAATGGACTGACTTGTTGCAACAGTGACACGACTGAGTTCAGTGAGCGCTGTAGAAGGACTCATTCTTTTACAAATGCATGCAAGGCCACACATTTTATACACCTGCGGGAATGGGACTGAAAGCACCTGAATTAAAAAAAGTAGTATGAATTTTGTGAAATCTAGGTAACATATGCAGTAGTTTTGTGACCCTTTGAAATCCAGACTGATAGATGTCAATGACTTTGTTTTTCGGCTGTTTCTTTATATCGTGGCACGATGTGTTGCTTTTTGCAACACGTTCTCATCCTGACGCGTAAAATACCAACGACTGTGACAAATTGTTGGTATGGGAATGAGAGCAAGTTGGAATGAATCTATAAATGTGTTTTACGTGTGAAATGAAAATAAACCGAAAAAAGCATTACGTACCCTAAATCTGTTCACTTTCAGATCCTAAATCACTTTGGAAAACACAATGTGATGGCCACAACATATAGCTATTTTATTGTTGAATTATTAGTCATACTTTGATGTGTTTGTATTGGAATGGATGGCCGGAGCCTTTGCTCTGAGCGTCTCTTACAGCCGCGAGCTTGTATTTACTCAGGTTATCTTTGTCTAACATTTAAATTTGTTTGATGTTCTGAAACATGAGAAATATGTAAAAAAAAAACAAAAACAAAAAAAACCTTGGAAATCAAGAATGTTTTACTGTTTGTGAATGAAAAAATCAGCCCTGTTAAATCTTGATGGTGTGTGTGGTCTCAGTAGTGCTCCACCAGGAATGAATGGTTAAAGTACAATAACCATAGATTACCCTGAGGTTTCTGTTTACAAACTTTCTCTTTTTCCTCTCTTACCATATTCATTTCTCTGTCTACTTTGCCTGTTTGTCTTTTATAGCCCATCTTTTACACTCCATCTGTTTCTTATATTTCTCCCACTCTCCTTTTAAATCTCCTTTTCACTCCCTGATTTGATTTTCCTACTCTATTCTTTTTTTCCCTCCATCTCTCTGATGAAAAAAGGAAGCAGACCACCCTCCTGGCTACTTGTCCCTGTAGACTAAATCAAACCCACTCAAACGTTACAAGCTTAAGAATATACCTTTGTTATTATGGTAGAGGAAGAGAGGGGATGCATCACACATGGTTTGCTATATTTAGCATCTCCCAGTGTGTGTATATCTGTGTATCTGTGTAATTATCACTACAGGGAATCAGTCCCAGACTGTGTTATTCCTCTGTTACATACTCCTGAGGCAAATGCTTAATTAGGGTGAGCTTTTCTCTATCTTTTAGTGTTGCATAAATTGTAGAGGAGAGGAGAGGAGAGGAGAGGAGAGGAGAGGAGGTTGTTCAGCTGTACGGAGTAACAGCATGGCACAAACTTGGATTAGAGACCCCTACAGTGACACACAACTCACAAGTATGATTTTATCACACACTGAGAGCCAAGCACTGGGAAATGTGCACAAAAGCACAGTTAGGTCATCGCAGTTACTGTATAATAATGTAAGAACTCTGACAGTCATGCAGGTGTATCACCTAAGAAATATAACATGATGCAAGAATACCTCTTAGATTTCTACTACCTCTGTTAGGTATTTGCGGGCTGAATGAAAAGAAAAAAAATACATAATAAAGATAATTAAGTTAATTGCAAGGATGCATAATTATATTAGTGATCCAAGCAAAAACCCCGCCCCTTTGCTCCTGTCCTAAAACACAGACATATATGCTAATTTATCATGTTATTCTCTTTATCTTCATTAATATCTTTTTATGTAGTCATATGGCATAAATGGCTGTTCATAAACACCAGACAAATGAATAATAAATACTTGTATCTATTCTTCTTTGCAGGCGACATGTTTATTGTATAAGACAAAGCAATCAATCCCAGGTACTATTAGTGTCACTGTTTGATGCACACTTATTTACATATATGCATGACAGCTCATTCCAGTAACCCAAAGTGTCACTGCACTAAAATTTTGATTACCAAAATGTATTTCCGAACAATGTACACATACATAATGTGAATGTAATGTCAAAATTTGTTTTGACATTAGTTACTACACATAATATATATGACTTATAAGAGGACAAAGTATTATATTTAGCACTCAATTCATTTGTGTGTTTTAAAAATAATTTCCAAAAGCTAAATAAATGATAATCGTGGTGCTCTAGGCAGTTTATAAAGTTTCATTCAAACTGATTAAGGTGACTGATTAGGAGGAGTTAGGGAACATACAGACATAGAGAATAGACATTATACATATACATGGTCTTAAAATGACTGTCGTGATTTTTACAACATTAAATTCTCTGACAGTGTATCAGCAAACAATTGTTGTCACGGCTGCCGAGGCGAGCCGTGTGGAGTTAGAAGAAGGACCCAAGATGCAGGCAGTGGATGAGATGTCGGTGAGTTTATTTACACAGTGGTGAGAAGGCAAAACAGGCAAGAGGGAAGACAAAACTAAAGACCTGAACTGGGAAAGCTAAATGACAAACCTGAGATGAAACAAAAAGGGATGAGAAACAGAGAGACGAGCAGGACATAGAGTAACACAGACTGACGCAGAGTTACACAGATGAACCGGCAACAGGCAGGAGAACACACAGGGCTTAAATACACACACCAGTAATCAGGGGATGAGAGACAGGAGGGCAACACAGCTGGGAGGAATCTGGGCTGACGGGACAGGGGAAAAGTAACCTGAACACACTCACATCAGACAGAGACCTTCAGAATAAAACAGGAAACAGACACAGAGAACCAAACAGGACACTGAACTTGACAGGCAGACTCATGAGCAGACACAATAACACCATGGACAGACAGAGGGAACACAGAAGTGGGAGCAGGCAGGC